GGCGCTTTGTCTTCGGTCCTGGTCTCCTTGGGAGCTGGTGTATCTTCCTTCTTGGCAGGAGCAAGGGCTTCTTTGGGCTCAGCCTTAGGAGAGGCCTTCTCTTTCTCCTCAGCCTGGGCTTTGGGTTTCTCCTTAGCCTCCTCAGGCTTCACCTCAGTGGGCTTGGTAGGGGTCTTGGGTTCCTGCGCTTTCTTGGGAGGCTCTTCTGGCTTGCTCTCCTTCTTACCTTCCTCAGGAGCAGGTGCCTTTTCTTCTTCTTTCTTTACTGCCTCCTTGTCCTTTGGCTTTTCTTCTTTCTTGCTGTCAGGTTTCTCCTCTGCCTTGCTTTCAGCTTCCTTCTTCTTGTCATCTTTGGGAGGCTGGGGTCCTTCTTCCTTGGGCTTCTCTTCCTGGGGGGTCTTTGCCTTCTCCTCTTCAGGAGCCTTTGGAGCAGCAGGTTTTGGCTTCTCCTCAGCTGGGGACTTGGCTTTCTCCTGGACAGGTGATTGAGGACGAGGAGATTTAGATTTCTCCTCTGCAGGAGATGTGACTTGTTCCTCAGTGGATGGTTTCCCCTCAGCTGGTGTCTCAGCTGGAGATTTGGGCTCTGGTGATTTGGCTTTATCCTCAGTGGGAGATTTTGGCTGTGGTGACTTTACTGCTGCAGACTTGGATTCCAGAGATTTCTTGGATTCATCTTCTACAGGGGGTTTTGGTGCAAGTGACTTAACAGCAGGGGTCTTGGCCTTGTCATCTGCCGGTGATTTTGGCTCTGGTGATTTTACAGCAGGTGATTTGGGTTCAGGAGATTTCTCAACAGGTGATTTGGGCTCGGGAGATTTCCCGGCAGGTGATTTCGGTTCAGGAGATTTCTCAACAGGTGATTTGGGTTCGGGAGATTTCTCGGCAGGTGATTTGGGTTCGGGAGATTTCTCGGCAGGTGATTTGGGTTCAGGAGATTTCTCGACAGGTGATTTGGGTTCGGGAGATTTCTCGGCAGGTGATTTGGGTTCGGGAGATTTCTCGGCAGGTGATTTCAGTTCAGGAGATTTCTCGACAGGTGATTTGGGTTCGGGAGATTTTTCGGCAGGTGATTTCAGTTCAGGAGATTTCTCCGCAGGTGATTTGGGCTCTGGTGATTCAGCTTTTTCTCCAGCAGGTGACTTAGAGTCCTCCTCTTCTTCTCCTCCAGCAGATTTGACATCCTCTTCTTTTTCTTCTGCTGCTTCTCCTTCTGCCTCCTCTCCTTCTTCCTCAGCCTCTTCCTCTGCTTTTCCCTCCTCCTCCGCTCCCTCTTTCTCTCCCTCTTCCCCATCTTCTGTCACCTCCTCTGTCACCTGGGTCTCATCTGTCTGCTCCTCCACAATGACTGTGTCCGATTTCTCTGCCACTTTGGTTTTGTCCTCTTTCTTGACCTTGACGTGAGTGGAGATCTTAGTGGTCGTATCGATGTATGAGTAAGGGCCCAGGCCAGAGGTGAATCTGGTCTCCTCTCCTTCCAGCAGTTTTCTACAGGGAGATACAAGACAATAAAAGTTTGGAATATGTTTATTGGTTTGCTGCATTGCTGTAGGTATTTTTATTGCTACCACTTCAACCTCAGGGAAGAGCAAAGCACCTTAGGCACCCTCTGTACACATCTGTCTCTCCCTGGCATTAAACTAGATTGCAAATAGTGACAAAATCTGATGGTTGGAGTTTTAACTCTGCAGGTTATTAAATTTAAAAGATTAACATCTCTGTAAAGTAATGTTCTGTAATTATTATCTAAATCTCATCAGGGCAGTGAATCGTTCTGTAGCTTTGTTCTGCTGCAGTGGTTCTAGTATTAATATTATTGCTTTGCTGTTGTATTGCTCTGATGATCCAACAAAAGACATTTTGTTGGAGTAACATCATTTTGCTTTGCTATATGATTGCACTGAATCGGTTCCAATATCCAAAATCAACAAAACATCAAAGAACACCTCCAGAAAGATAGGGAAAAGGCTTTTCTGCACACCTGTACGCAGCAATCTCAATGTCCAGGGCCATCTTGACATTGAGCAAGTCTTGGTAGTCCCTCAGCTGAGTGGCCATCTCCCACTTAGTGCTTTTCAACTCATTGTCCAGCTGATGGATGGTCTCCTGCAAACACAGAACACCTCTGTGAAGGATTCTCACTGGCTTCATATCCATGCATTGAAACTACCATATTGTTCTGCCTTTTTCCAGCTGACAGCTATAGTCAGTGAGCACTATAATGCATGATTCTCTACTAGAGTTCTACTATGCCAAGAGTTTCAGTGAGTTAAGTTAAGTCTGCTGACATGCCATGAGCCAGCAAAGATGAGAACACAGATGACTTAAGTTGTCATGGGAGTCTGGAACAAGCTACCCAGCCATGATGTGGAACTTGATAACATCTCTTGTTTAAGAAAAACGATGGAGCACTTAGTGATTAAAAGGCAGATAAACTTTCTTATGCTCCTGAGAGTCCACAGTGGGCACTGTCCCCTACCTGGATGCAGTACATCCTGTGTCTGGTGGGACAAGCTTTTTAGACTCCCAGTCGTGGCAAAAAAATGGCACCTGCTCTATAAGGGTATCAGGATGTGAAAACGTACCTGGTACCTGCTGGTACCTGGAAAGATCTTGCTTCGTTAAAGCTCAGTTTTTATTTTAGCAGTGCCATATGAGTAAAAGAGGTGGCCTGGGAAATGGCCTCTGCAGTCATCAGCACGGAATCTGTGGGGCTAAGCGAAGGCAACGGACAGAGAGACGGTGACCTGCCTGCAGGGACACAACGTCACTGTGATGGCGGTCTTCGATGTCACAGCGCTGCCTCTCCAGAGACTCCTTGGTGCCCTTCAGGGTCTCCAGCTCTGTGGTACGAGACTGTAGCTGGCGGCGGTACTCGGCGATCTCATCCTGGGCGCTGCGGATGGCGTCGTTGTTGAAGCGCGCAGCCTCCGACAGCTTTTCCATTCGCACTGCCAAGCAACAGCCAACACAGTGTGGTCACCACCTCCGTGCAGAGTGAGAACCCACCAGGAGGAAGATTACTAGGGAGGTGTGCATGAAACTGCCTGCAACTGCAATGTTTTCTCTGCACGATGTTGCACAGAATAATGAGATGTCTGAGCCTCGCCTTTAACGAGTGTTCATGACCCTGGGCTCTACACACTCCGCTCTGTGTATCGTTCAGTTTTTAAACTGGCGTGTGTTTTAGGCTTGGGAATGCACACAAAGGCATCCAGTTGATCTTGGACGAGCATGTGGCAAGTGACACTTCAAAATAAAATTAAACAGTATTTGAAATGTGTTCTTTAGCAAGTGTGTTTGCTGAAGAAACAGTGCCATTCATGAAAACTGATGTGCTCATCCAAGGTCAGCTGAACAGGTTTGTGTGGATCACAAAAGACAATACACAACAGTCGATGAATCACACATTTGTTCTTAATTGTGCCAAAACAGCACTGCGAGGTAATCCAATGCAGGATGAATCTCTTGATTACTTTCCTACTTGCTCTACAGAGAGGTCTGAGGTTGTTTTTCCTCTACTTCTTCAAGGGAGGAATTCTCTACTGCAGTTTCTTCCCCTGCCCCTTGGAGCCTCATTCTCTCTTTGTCTTTAACATCCACAGTTTTAGTTCAGTTAGGAAAGGCAGCTCCAAGACTGGACATGTTCCCCCTTTTTGCCTGTGTTAGAGGAGGAGCTACAGGACTTTCATTCCAAACACTCCAGTAAAACTCCGCTTCTCCAAACAAATACGGATTCACATCTACATATGTTGTCAGCATGGAAGTCCTTTTTTTTGTTTTTCACACTACATTGACTGACTCTTCTACCACAGAATGAATTTAGATTGTCTCTTGGTTAGACTCTGTCTGGCTGAGCTCCTGTTTCAATCTTAAATGCTCCGAATATGACAACAGCCAACTGCTGTTGGAGAAAGACGCTCCTTTACAGACTTCAGACTGCTGTAAGAAGCCTCATCTTTTGTTCACTGTTCTGGTGAACCAGCTGCTGTAATGCTGTCACCGAATGGGTCAGACATTAAACTGTGTTGCTAAGATCAAAGTGTCCTTGGCCCTGCTGTGATTGGTAAATGGCTGCTCCAAGAGAACAGCCGTTTCAAGACCTCTGTGGTGTGGAAGCCTGTGGAGTGGGTTAGGATTAACTGAGAAAGGTAGTATGGATGCTGCAGACTGCATGGCTGCTTCTGTCATTTTCATTTAACAGCAGCCTTTGGCCAAACGTTCTTCTGTAGTCTATTAATAAGTATTTGAAACTGTCTCCCACCATCTTCGGTCTCTAAAGTAATGAGCCAGTCAGGACCATCAGTCATTTTGTACAGATTTCTCTATTGCTAGGCAGGACGTTAAGGGCTCTTCTGAACTGTGCACTCTCCAAAGAGTACATGCTTTCCGGATAGGGATTAGTTAGCAGGTGAGAGGTGCTGTTGTCAATAACACCCACTAATGTCTTTTGGACTGGACGTGATTTAATGATGAAGAGCATTTTCAAGGACACAGCATGCACACTCAGATCTGTTATCAGTTAGGGTGTGGTAGTGAATACAAAGACACAGTGGTTCTCAAATACTTCACAATGCTTCACAATTACACTATGGAAGGATGTGTGCACAACAATCTCTTGACTAGCAATGATTACCTGATTGTTAATTCAGTCCAATCATTTCAGGGATAGGACCTATGCTTCCAAGGCATGGCAATTTTAGCCACTTACTTTTATGAATTACCAGCTTGTTGGTAATTCATAGTGGTTACATATAGAGATGTAGATTCAACATGCCTGCATTTCTGCTGCATCCATACAGTTTGAACAATATTCCAGAAACCTGAAATGGCTCAAACTGCTCTGCAATGGGAACCTTATTTTCTGCCCTGACCAAGGACAGGACCCTCACAGCTGACAGCCCTGTTGTTTGACTGATGGGGAATGGAGCACACGGATTGGCGCGAGACACAGCCTGTCTGTCCGTGTCTCTGTTCTGTCGTGCTTCCCGTCTGCCAGATCGTCTTTGGAGCAGCCTATGTGATCTTGGCAGCGCAGAGGTCCGTGTTGTCATTGACACTGTGGATTAAACCCCATGCTCCACACAGCTCCCATGCTCCACCAGCAGTCTCACAGGCAGGTCCACACAGAGCACTCAACACCTGCACACTGCTCTCCCACAGGCATGTGCAAAACACAGAGAGAAAATAACACAGACCATGCACTGCTGACTGGTTACTTACAGTAACTCCACTAACACGCAGAGAAAACCTGCAGCCACTTCATTGCTGTGCTGTGGGTGTGTGTACTGTATGTGCCTGGGGGGTGGGACTGTGAAATACTGTCGATAACAGAAAATAAAATCAAGTGTTGTCCTGTTTTGACACTAGAGAACATTTTATATATCTATTCATAGATGTGGTTCAATGGTTTTGAGCATGAAAACTTTATGCCTGCATGGTTTCCCCCATTAATTTTAGAATCCATTAATACCTCTCTGCAAAGGATGATGCTTAAATAAGGAACAAAGGAAAATAGAATAGTATGACTTCACAGTTTAAGCATATCATCCAAGGAGGGAGTTTAATTAAGTGACTGAAACAGAAATGACCTCTAATCCTTATTCTGCTTTTAATATTGTATGTTATTGTTGTTGAGTATGCCATAACCTCCACTAATATTTTCACTCACAGTGAAATACATTGGAAATTTTAAAAGGTGAAGGCTTGCACCTCTCTGGACAGCACCACACACACGTTTATATCCGATAACAGGCAAACACGCACTACACTGGACAGAACATGCAAGGACACACCCACTAATCTCTCACCCAGCCGCTGCTTGTGGAGCAGATGGCGCGAAGGGCTCCCCCTAGTGTTAAGTACAGGGATAAAAATGAATAGTTCAATTTGTTAAAGATCTGTGGCTGGATTTTTAACTTCGGAAAACGGACTGTATTGTACTTTTCGAAGAGGGAACAATCAGCGGTGGTCTAGAACACTTCTTCTTATCAGTATTGATTTTAACAGAACCGGCAAGGCGGTCACGAATGACTAACAGGGCTATCCTACGTGCCCCTACAGAACCTTTTTTTTTGGCTAACGCCGGGTCGACTGGCTTTTTGTCTCAAATACTAGATAACTTTAGCGCAGATCACAACAAAATAACTGAGACTTAAAGGGCATTCTAACTTCTTAAGCCTGTCACGGCCAAAACACTGCAAATCGCACCCCTATTTCTTTGGGTTGACCTAATGTCTTAATTGCCGAATTCCAGAGGAAGTTTAAGATCAGCCTGCGATTGAAAGCGACAGGAGCTGCGACAGGATGCCTGCGGAAAACCCGCAATGATCCACTGAAAACGACACAAGGCCGCTTTAGAGTAAAAGGGAGAAGTTCAAGCTCTAACCGGTGATATTTTGCTAAAGTGTTTTTTTTTTTACCAAATGGTCAGTCTGAACACAGGGAAGGCAAAAACCCAAATGCTTTTATATTGCAGAAATTATAAGAAAGGTCCTCTCGTCTTTATTAAACTGTATAAATAACGTTGAAGTGCACGAATGACTGTAATATAATCACAGCCTGGATCATTGAGCTCAGCTGCCTGCGGGATGTGTTGCGGGTTCCGCGCAGGTTGCTGACTCACTGCACTGCGCTTGGCACGGTACAGCCGCACATCTCTAACCTGATTCGCCTGAAGGGCTCGTTGTTGTGTGTTTTAATTCTATTGCTTCAGTGTTGCAGTTCATGACGCCACGACTGTAGGAGCTTGTAAGGCTAAAGCTGTCCAGCATCGCCGTTTGTTTGTCCCGTTTGTCTTTAAAGTCTGCTTTGACGTGCAGCTCTCTTAACTAATAAAAAAAAACAATGTAACTACAAGAGCCTTTCTCTATTAACTAATAAAAAACAATGTAACTACAAGAGCCTTTCTCTATTAACTAATAAAAAACAATG